AAATAACCGCATTTCCTTAGCAGGGCTTAATTCTGAGATCTCAGAAGGAGACATGTTTAGTATATTATCCGTATCTGTTGGTTTGACTATTTTTACACGATGCGTAATATTATGAGAATTTTCGGAGTTATCCGACTCAACTAAGTCTTCCTGGGGTTTTTGTGATATCGTGCTTACCGATTACCGTTGGTTACCGGAATGATAAATGAAAGCGTCTATTTCGTACAACATGACACATACATATTATATTGTGGTTCCAGCATGAAAATCTAAACAGATAACAAGAAACAGAGGGCTAATCCCAACTCAACCAAACTTATTTACTGTAGCAACAACCGAAAATCACATAAATGGCAAAAGCGTTCGCGAAAACAACTACTTGCTCACACGCCGGTAGCCATTATGTCATATAAAGTTGCTACTTGCTACTTGCCAGTTTGAGAATAACCAGAATTGCTGTAGTCGCCATCTAGCGCACCTTTTAGAATTTAATGTTCGAAAGTTTATGCGGATATCGTATAAGATGGCACTTGTGTCTTTGCAAATTATTGGACCCCAACCTAAAGTATGGAAGTGTACCCCCTTGATTAAAACCATAAACGGTTGCTGCATCCATTATTATGTGCTTTTGAGTTATGATCATGGTCAGCGGTAAAAGCTAATAGCAATCCTGAATAATTCTCAGGAAAATAAAAACTTTGAATAAAACTATTTTTACGGATTTTATCCAGTTTAATTTTGATTTCTTAATTAATTTCTGGGAAGTCTGCAATCTATGAACTTGTTCAAGATATTCCCCACCATTACATCAGATTTGATAAACCACAAATCCTCGCAAAAGAACACCGATCCCTACCAATGATGATGCGCGAGGCTATTGAAATTAAAAATCATGTTATTGTGCTGCCATCTGCTTGGGATCCTATAATTAACAAAATTAAACCCAAACAACTGCAAGACTTCAAAATACTGTGAGCTCATTCTGATCGGACCGAAAATTTATATTATCTATCTATGACCTTGGGATGTCAAACATCTCAGTCCCGCCATATATATATATATATATATATATATATATATATATATATGTGTGTGTGTGTGTGTTTGTGTGTGTGTGTGTGTGTGTTTCTGTATAGACATCGATACGAAACACAGCAGCATCAAGCTACAATTTATCGCTGGTATTTTGTGAGAGCGTGGTCCTTCCCCGGTCGAGCCGACCCATTCTTGCTATAACTACTACTAACATAACTGCAGAATGGCTCTACCACGTGTATATTGGTTTTATCCATTTAATTTTACTTATTTTTATTGCCGACGTTTCGGGTGTTTTGCACCCATGGTCACGTGGGTCTGTTAATAATACTATTCAACATGTAGTGTTCGCGTAAATATAAGATATCATTAAATCTACTACAGTAAACCCTCGTTAACAGGAACACGAAAAAAAACAAATAGTTCGTGTAACAGGGGAGTTCGTGTAATCCGAACAATGCAAAAAATGAATTCGTGTTTCTAAACTCAATATTATGATTCATCATAGAAACATTTTTATTAATAACTTTGATTTTATTATTTTATATTTACAATAATTTTTAAAAGCCAAATTGTTAAGAAGCCTTTGCTTTTGTTAATTAGTTTTCAAAAGTTTACAACCTTTTCAATAGCTTTTGTAAGACGGAAAGAAAATTTGAGGTATTGTTTCTATTTTTAGGTACTCGAGTGAATGTTTGATATACTAATCATTTGTCTATTTTTAGAAACTCGAGTTAATGACTTCTAATCTCTTCAGCATTTGTTTACCGGTATTTGTATTGACCGAAAAGGGACAAAAATATACAAAATACATGATTTGGGAATTTTTATAGTTCGTATTATCCGATAATTAACTGTGAAGGGATGAAAAAGTTGTTCGAAGTTCGGATTAACGAGGATTCGTCTTAACCGAACATAATTACATTGAAGCTTATGGAACTATTGTCTAGAGCAAATTTTTGTTTGCCTTAAACCAAAATTCGTGTTAACCGTGTTCGCATTAACGAGGGTTTACTGTATTTGTTTTATGTTTAACCATATTTCCTAATTCCTATGTAGTGGAAGTGTAAGAATATTCACTATCTCATATCCCGGGGTGGTCGTAAGAGCCGACACAGGGAGCTGAAACTTTGTGTCTTTCGCCTAAGTACTAACTACTGGAGATAATAAAAACTGCGGTTTCCCTTCGCTTTTGAATTGAAAAATCGTATATACAAGGCAATCTTTGGAGGAGCTGTGGACTTTCGATAGGCTGTAATGTAAAAATTAGCAAAGTTTTCTAAAGTGTCTAGTTTTCGTATGAATACCACTTTTTATTATATAGGGTTATGCACTAAAATCCCAAGTCTCCTTTTTTCATCGGGGGTTTTTACTTCTCTTGCATAATAGCAAATTACTATCTCTCCTGTACGGCGTTTTTTAATTAATCTGTATTAATCTCATATAAAAGAAAAAGATTGGTTTCATTCCTTCTTTCAATGGGGAGGGAGATACTCCGACGGTTACATTTATCCTTGACGTCTGAAATATGGTCAGATTAAGTCAGATAATACACCAGGAATACTAATGGCATTTGATTTCTGAGTTGTTATTGCATTATGAATTCGCGTAGTACTGTCATCCCATGTAAATCGTTAAAAGAAATAGGAATAACATGCCTTAAATATTTTTTTAAAATTTCAATTTCCAAGTTCAAAGTAGCTACTAGTACAACAAAACGACAATTTCGTAGATAAAGACTTATTTATGTAAAACTATAATGCACTCTACTGTACGACCGATGCCTTAATACCGGTATTGGGATGATTTATCTTATATATATTTGAGTAAAGTAATAGCTTATCAGTATTTTTAGAAGTAAAGATAACAAACGAGCATGGTCCACCTGATGGTAAGGAGATGCCGTGGCTCATAGACATCTACATTTATCCTCAATTAAGAATCAAAATGTAGATACGTTCACCTCTGAGGACTAATATGTAATATCTCATTTCTAGTAAAAAGGTTCTCTGGTTCCCTACACTCACTATACGAAAAACAGCAGCATTAAGCTGCTATTTTACGCTGGCATACCGTTGAGAACCTTGGTCCTACCCCAGTTGAACCGGAAAACCATTCATGCTACCACTAATATAGCTGCAGCATGGCTTTACCACGTATAAACCATTTTATAGCAACATGAGCCATTTAGTGGTAGTTATGAAGAAATGAAGAATTGCCAAAGATGGTAGAGTAGCTGGCACTCGACGTACCTAGATCAGTAACTAACTGCTCTTCACCATTGCTTAATTTTTTTTTATAGAAGAGGGCAAACGAGCATGCGGCTCACCTGATGTTAAGTCATTACCGCCGCCCATGATCAACCGCAACACCAGGGGAATTGCAGGTGCGTTGCCGGTCCTTTAGAAAGGAGTAAGCTCTTTTCTTGAAGGTCCCCAGGTCGTATCGGTCCGGAAAAATCGCCGGTGGTAAACTATTCCACAGAAAGGTTGTACGCGGAAGAAAACTCCTTTTGAAACGTACAGTGGTGGACCGCCAAGCATCCAGATGGTGTGGATGGTATCGGGACGTTTGCCGCGTAGTGCGTTCACAAAATTTGGCGGCTGGGATTAATCCGAACAATTCCTCAGAGCACTCTCCATGGTATATGCGAAAGAAAATGCAAAGAGATGCAACATCTCTTCGCAATGCCAGTGAATCGAGCCGATCGGAAAGCACTCGGTCGTCGACGATTCGAGCCGCTCTGCGCTGGATGCGGTCAAGTGGAAGGAGCTGGTACTGGGGAGCCCCAGCCCAGAGATGGGAACAGTATTCCATGTGCGGCGAACCTGCGCCTTGTAAAGTTGCAGGCGGTGTGCCGGCATGAAATATTGTCCCGCTCTGCTGAGCACGACAAGCTTTTTAGAGGCCAATTTGGCCTTCCCTTCCAAGTGACCACGAAACTGCACGTCACTCGATATGTCGACGCCGAGGACTCCATTACTGGCTGAGGCAACAAGAGGAGTGCCTTGAAACTGAGGGGATACGACAAAGGGGTTCTTTTTAGCGCTTAACGCGCAAACTTCTGGGGGTTAAACTGGACTAGATTTAGTCGCCCCCAATCCGAGACTCTGTTCAGCTAAGACTCGACTTCAGACACAAGTTTATTCCGGCACTCGGAAACGTTTTCCCGAGAAATATTGGCTCGACCGGTGTAAAGAGCATCACCAGTGCTGTCATCCGCATAGCAATGAATGTTACGGGTTTGCAACATATCATTGATATGCAGAAGAAACAGCGTTGGCGATAGCACGCAGCCAAAATTTCATGTCAACACCCGGCCACATACTCCACAATAGACGTTGTCAAAATTAGCAGCTAAAGCTAGAGGCCCTTACTCATTCACAATATGCTCCGGACCTTGCTTCTAGCACATTCCCACTTTTTCTAAGTTTGGATAACTTTATTAAAAGGCAAAAAGTTTAATCCGAAGAAGCAATAAAGAACACATTTAAAGAGTTCATTGAAAGTTCTGAGGTAACACATAAAGAAACGTACAGTCGAATTGAGTACCTCCTCTTGGAAGTCGGTTGAAAAAATGGCAAAAATGTGTTAATAGTTGATGAATGTGCTGATTTATAATTTTTTATTTCAATAGTTGAAGCTGTCCTGCGTCGCATCGCAGTCTGGCTGTGCTTGCTTACTCACTTAGTTTTGGTGATACATATATTGAAGGTGTTCCAATGTGTTCAATTAATATTTTATAAAGTAAATTCATTACTAAGAAATGTTCATTTAAATAACTAGTTTTGAGAGTATTACCAAACACTTAATTTTCTGATCAAAACGGTGATTCCGTCCTGATTCTATTGCTTTCTTTTTTAAAAAGATATTAACATATTTTGTAGATATGTTTATACGTCACGTTACGAAATATTATTTTTTTCTTTAACAGAGAGAAAAATTAATTTGTAAATAACCATCAGGTCACGCCCGATCGAGCCTCCGGTGGAGACAATTGAAGGCAATGCAGCCAGTGAAGATAAATACATATGCCCGATATGTTTCAAATTAATACCGGAAGACTATCGCAACATACACGAGAATTCGCACAACAATAGCAACAAAATGAACTGCGACATTTGTAACAAGAAGTTTCACTCTAAGGAGTATCTAAAGATGCACATGAGTGTACATAATATGGATAAGGTAATTTAAATGTTTATTTACATTGACTTTTGTGATTTGTTTTGAAATTAAATAAATTATTTTATACTGTATTGAATTTTCAATAAGTTTGAGAAAGGTAATATTGTACATAAGTATACTGTTTATGTAATGTAATTTGGTACATAAGTACTTGTGGAGTGAGTGACAAAATTTTATTTAAAAAAGTATGCGTTTATATCTTTAAAGTTTATTTCAACTGCATACCGAAAATAGCTTCTCGGCTAAATTATAAGACGTAATATTGTTTTGAAGCTGGTACATAGTTTAGTTACTTATAAAACTATATAACAATAGAAGCAGGTATTTTATAAAACGATAATTATGTTACATTACGTGCTTGACGCTAATGCGGTTTTGAATTAGGATACTGGCACGTATTGCGCCAAGTTCGTATCTGAGCCCGTCTGACTATTGGGCTACGGAAGCTCTCAATCCATAAAATAATTACTGAATGCAATTTTTATTATTGTTTTTGATCAAATCTCTTTAATATTACGACCACATCTTGGGAATAGTTTATACTAAGTAGAAATAATCCCGCTGGGACATCTTGTTGGTTCCTCCCAGCTCAGAAGTACTTTCCGAATGAGTGGTAAATAAAAAAATTGACATTCAGTATGTTTGCAATAATCTATATTGTGTAAAAAGTTATTATATTCTATTCTATGAAGCCTTTATTTAATTTTCCATTTAAAAAACGCTTTTTATAGTCTGTTCGCAAAGGTAGTGGCGGTACACCCTTGAGGCACACTTATTATTTTACTTTTATTTTATTATTTTTTACTGTTTTTGTTAAATATATGCTTATCTATTCTAAGAATAAAATAGTATACTATGGTATGGTTATTGTAATAAAATACGAATATAAATAATAAACTCAAGTTAGGTAGCAAAGAACCTTTCAACTATGGCGCTTAGTTTTAAAATGCCAAATTCTTCTGCCGGTGTACGTAGTGGGTAGCAAATACTTAAAACATTTTGCTTTTGTATAAATGCATAGTTTTTTTTCAGGTAGTGATTGGGAAACAAGATAAATCTCTTCCTTACACGTGTTCATATTGTAATAGAAAATTCGCAAGGCCACATGAAAAAGTCAAACACGAAAGGATACATACAGGTATGTTAGGTGTTAGAGGGTATTCACTTGTAAAGGGGGTGATGCTATGAGTAATAATGTTATACTGACTGACTTCCAAAAAGAAAAGTAACAGCATATATAGTGCTACTGCTGGGCACAAATTTCCTTTAATTTTGAGAGGGTTACATAATAATAAGTATGCTGTGTTACTCGTTACTCCACACTTTGGACTTCACACTTTGAAATATTTTATTCCTCAGAATTCTTCACTATGTTTTCGTTTACCGTCCACCACGTAGTAAATCGGCTCTTAAAACTACCGGCAATGGACCGAACCGGGGTTTCTCGCATACCGTGGACTGAAATTTACAGTGAGCATGTATCCCTCTGAGTTAACACGGTTCTTTACCTTTACTTACCATTACGGTCTTATAAATTCCACTGCTGACATAGGCCTCCCCCGTAGATTGCCTCATAAGATGGATATTTTCAATAGTTGCCACGCTTGGCAAACGGGTTGGCAACCGCTGTTTTTTATTTTTAGTTGTTATTAGAAAAATGCTGCTTCCCATTTCACTTGTTTCCCTCTGTCGCCTATTGCGACGCCCATGGGATATTAGATATTCTTACACCGCCACTACACGATAAACTTATTATTACTTAACTGACTTCTATTACTTTACTACTACTTTAATCATAAAACTTGACACGTATGCGGTAAGATCGATGTTAGGCTCCGATACAATTTAAGAAGTGTCACCACATGACTATCCCTTTGCTGTGGCTGAGTTACAGTGGTCACTTGAATAACTAGACCACTTGGTCAAAATTTATTCACAAAATTCTTATATAATATACTATACAGGATGGCCCAAAAGTCGTGCATCAAACGCAACTAGCGGTTAGATGGGGTCATCAGCTGCAAAAAGTTGTTCTACGGGAGGTCCTTAAGGTCAACGCCTGCAGAGTTATAATTTATTTTGTGTTTTATGAGAAAATTGATTTTTTTTTAAATAATTCTTATTAAAATTCCAAAAATCTACATTCTGTATCTTTTTTATAATTTTCACTAGATTGGTACTGATGAGTCCTTGCGTTAGACATGCTATTTATGGTTGTTTATTCGGTGTGTTGAAGATGATATTAAGTTTTACGATTATTTTTTTTCCTAAAATCATAACTTTTTATTTACTTCGGACCCTGAAGGGATTCTGAAAAGGTATTACACATGGCTATGCGTGGCTTTGATATCTTTCAAGGACGATTATTCATAGCAAGGCCAAAGTTAACCCAACCATAAAACTCGGTTAGGCTTATTTAAAAATAAACTGGAACTAATACAATTAATGACAAAGACTCTGCCTCTCTTTTACACTAACCATTTAATCCTTTGTCAATAAAAAGGTCGGTTGGCCCGTCAGTTCAGGTAGTAATATCTTTTCTAGGCAACAAAAGGCCGGGCCGGCAGGGGCAGGGGCCGGGGGATGCTCGTGAGCATGTTTCTTTAGAATGTTTAGTGTTCTTTAGTGACTTCCTACACTGTTGTGCAAACTGTTTTACGACGAGTTGAGATTAGTTTCTTTCCTTTGACCTACGCTTTGTTTTTCGGACTTGTGATAGATTGCCTACCTGTGACCAGTGCTGTGTGAATCGGACTAGATTCGGAATCGGACGGATTGGCTACAAAAGTGGACAGATGGCTGCTGCGAGAAGAGAATACACCCAACGGGAGTATGCGGAAATGCCATTACCTGTATGGCTTTTGCGACGGTAATGCCCGGGCTGCTGCCAGGGAATATCGTCAACGCTACCCTAACCGTGATCGTTTTCCAGACTACAGGGTCTTTATGCGCATACATAATTCGTACATGGAGGGAGTCTTACCCGGTCAGCATGCTCCGAGAGCAGGCAGACCAGTGGTGCAATTTGAAAATGAAGATGAAGTGCTGAGAGAATTAAGATTGGATCCTAGTATAAGTCAACGCCAAATATCCCGTAATCTCGGGATTCCAAGATCGACGGTGCAACGTGTCATTAACAGAAACAAATATCACGCCTACCACGTGCAAAGGGTGCAAGCTTTGCTGCCCGGTGACTATGAACCTATACTGCGGTTTTGCAGAGAGATGCTAAGATACCACAGAGAGGATCCGCAGTTCCTCAACAAGGTTTTATGGACGGATGAGTCAACTTTTATAAGAATGGGAGTATTCAGTATCCACAATCTGCATTTTTACTCCAGAGTGAACCCCCATATCATAAGAAATGATCGATTCCAGCATCTGTTTGGTATTAACATGTGGGCTGGTATAATTGGCCAGCAATTGGTGCTGCATGAAATGCCAGCAAGGCTGAATGGTGCTCAGTATTTAAATTTTTTGCAAAATAATTCAAACCATATTCTTAACGAAGCTGAAGTTCCAGAAGAAAGAATATCAGAAATGTGGCTGCAACATGATGGCACCCGCCTCACTACGCTTGAGCAGTTAGAGATCATTTGAACGAGCGCTTCTCCAACTATTACGTGCCACTCCGATAGCCCGATTTAAATTCATTATTTTTTTTTCTTTGGGGCTATTTTAAAGAAATAGTTTACCAAGGAGAGAACAATAGCGAACAAGAAATACGACAAAAGCTAGAATTTGCTAGGGTACAAGTTACTAATGTTACGCGCTCAAGTCAACGATACACTAGCGCCATCTAGTGTCAGGAACGAGAGCGAGGGGAGTATTGAGAAAATGACATCACAAATCACTCAACCGACAGCGCCTAGTCGAAACTCGAACGCTCGGTACCTTGCGCGTGTTTACTTGAACATTCTGGATATTTCTTTGCTAATTTAAATATATAGGCGCTGCAAGATGCGATGGGGGCAGAGTTGAACTCAGCGACACAAGCGAAGCTTCGGAGCGGAATTAAGTGAATTAGTGTGTTTAATTATTAGTGTTTTTAGTTTTAATTTGTGTAAAGTAAATTAAAGTGTTAATTTAGGTAATTTTATCGGCAATTTTTATTGTCACGAACCTCAAGCTCGTAACAATTGGTGTCAGAAGTGGGATAAAATAATGCCGATTTTACCTAAGGAGGTAACGGAGGGTGTCCGTACCCGAAGTCAACGCTAGCAGGAGACGGACCAACGAAGATTTGGTGGTGCAACGCCGCAGACGTTGCAGAGGGCCAGCCACTGGCTGCAGGCCCGTCGGTAGCTTCTACATCTGCAGCACCTGACTTAGGTGCTCTGATGGTGATGCTGCAGGAGCAGGCTCGCCGACAGGAGGAACAGGTCCGTCAGTTGAAAGAGCAGCTGCAGAGCGGACAAGAGGAACAGGCCCGTCAGCAGGCGGAACAGGCTCGTCGGTCGGAAGAGCAGATGCTCCTTATGAAGGACCTTCACGCTACCTTTGGGAAAGAGATAAGAGACGTGAAGGATAGGGTTGCTCAACACGACAACCGCCTGTCGGAAGCTGAAACCCGAACCGAAGAACATGAAACCCGAATCAACCATGTGAACAATCGGGTTGACAACGTGATGGCTGACGTGAAGAAAACGCTAAACGACCTCAAACTTGCGGATGGAACTACAGCTCCCGTAGTAGCTGCAGCACCTTCGCTACGTGGATTCAAAGTGCCGCCGTTCGACGGGACCTCTTCCTGGTCGGCCTACAAAATCCAGTTCGAGGCCGTCATGGAGGCGAACGGCTGGAATAAAAGCCAAGCCATGACTGCACTCACCCTAGGCCTGCGCGACCAAGCCTTAACTGTGTTGGAAGCTCTCGGTAAGAAAGTGACCTATGAGCAGCTTCTTGAGGCCTTGGAAGCGAGATATGGCGACGCTCATCTGGAACACGTCTTTCGCGCGCAGCTTAAAGATCGTGTGCAGCGCATCAACGAAAACCTGCAGCAGTGGGCTCTAGAGGTGGAGAAGCTGGTGCGAAAAGCATACCGGTCTGTACCTGCGCTCATTGAGGGGAACCTGGTGCAGACATTCATCGACGGCATCCGTGACCTGGAAGTCAGAGCTGCTCTGAGGCTAGGGCACCACGAGACGCTTAAGAACGCCTTGGCCCATGCACTGGAGGTGGAAGCCGTGCGGCAGGATCATCGTTCCCATCGTGTCAGGGAGGTTGCAGTAGCTACAGTTCGCGACCGCAACAAAGGATACAGCCCAAGGTGCTATGGCTGTGGGCAAAAGGGCCATCTTCGATCCAGCTGCCCTAAGCGAACCGTGGAAAGGAGAGTTGATCGATCTCGAGAGGGTCGTGCAGCTAACGGCACCGCCTGGCGGTGGCAGGATCGTCGTTCCCCTAGCGCTAGGGTGGTTACCGCAGTTACGGTTCGCGACCACAATAAAGGATACAGCCCCAGGTGCTATGGTTGTGGGAAAAGGGGCCATATTCGGTCCAGCTGCCCCAAGCACACCCTAGGAAGGGAAGGTGAACGGTCTCAGAAAGGAAGTGCGGCTAACAGCACCGCCCAGCAGCAGCAGGAATACGACCTTACTATCGAACATCGCAGCGGGAAATCTCACGGCAACGCAGATGCATTGTCAAGAAGACCTTGTCCTGAAGATTGCAACCATTGTAGTAGGCAAGAGAGTAAGGAGGTGGTATCCGTGAGGATGCTCAGGACAGACCACCTCAGCAACGGGTGGAAGGACAGCCTACGACATGCACAGCAGGAAGATCCGGACATCAAGCCGATTCTGGGATGGATGAAGGCCCGTGCTACCAAGCCTAAGTGGAGGGACGTCTCAGCGATGAGTTCAACCACGAAAAGCTATTGGGCCCAATGGGACAGCTTGCTGATTCAGGATGAAGTCCTGTGCCGTAAATGGGACAATGGTCGAAGAGACAGCTGTCGTTTGCAAATGGTTGTCCCTAAAGCTAAAGTGCCGAATGTTCTACAGCTGTGCCATAATGGTCGTTCAAGAGTCCATCTGGGAGTTAAACGAACTCTACTGACGGTCCGAGAACAGTTTTACTGGGTCCATTATCGTGACGATGTCGAGGATTGGTGTCGTATATGTACAAGTTGTGCGGCCGTGCGGGGACCTCAGACACGTAGTAGAGGAGCACCGAAATTGTACAATGTTGGTGCACCACGGGATAGGACAGCCCTTGACATTGCGGAGCCGTTACAGAAAGGCGCAAGAGGGACTCCTAAGATCGTCCATGTGAATCGCTTGGCGCGTTATTATGGGGCCGATAATGCTCGGGACGAGCATGTCTTAGGAGGGGGCAGTGTTACGCGCTCAAGTCAACGATACACTAGCGCCATCTAGTGTCAGGAACGAGAGCGAGGGGAGCATTGAGAAAATGACTCGAACGCTCGGTACCTTGCGCGTGTTTACTTGAACATTCTGGATATTTCTTTGCTAATTTAAATATATAGGCGCTGCAAGATGCGATGGGGGCAGAGTTGAACTCGGCGACACAAGCGAAGCTTCGGAGCGGAATTAAGTGAATTAGTGTGTTTAATTATTAGTGTTTTTAGTTTTAATTTGTGTAAAGTAGATTAAAGTGTTAATTTAGGTAATTTTATCGGCAATTTTTATTGTCACGAACCTCAAGCTCGTAACACTAACAACAGAGGTGCATTCCGTGGGTTACGTATGAATTTTATTTAGACGGAGCAGATTATGCATTATGGTCAGAGTCAGGAAATTTGAGCATTTATTGTAAAATGGTTTGCTTAATAAAACAATTATTTCACAATCGTTGTTTTGGTTTTTCCGTCCTAGAAAGATATTAGAGCTACTCATGGCCATGTGTTATACCTTTTCAGAATCCCTATTAAATGCGCCAAAACTTGTAATACAGGGTCACTTTTCGGTAGAGTATTTTTTTTCACAGTGGGGTCCGAAGTAAATAAAAAATTATGATTTGAGAAAAAAAAAATCGTAAAACTTAATATTATCTACAACACACCCAATAAACAACCATAAATAGCATGTGTAACGCAAGGAATCATCAGTACCAATCTAGTGAAAATTATAAAAAAGATACAGGATGTAGATTTTTGGGATTTTAATAAGAATTAGTTAAAAAAGTCAATTTTCTCATAAAAACATAAAATAAATAATAACTCTGCAGGGGTTGACCTTAAGGACCTCCCGTAGAACAACTTTTTGCAGCTGATGACCCATCTAACCCCTAGTTGCGTTTGATCCACGACTTTTGGGCCACCTGTATAGGCTAAGTTAATGACTTAACTATATCGATGGTATATCTAAAGTAACATGTTTTATGACAAAGTCTGCTATACTACTAGATAAGAATTACTACATTTTGATTTTTGTTTATTGGAACGCTCTGACTATATTAGAAACAAGTGCTTTATGTTTAAGGTGAAAAACCACATACATGCGAGATTTGCGGGAAAGCTTTCCGTGTGTCATACTGCCTCACACTTCACATGCGTACGCACACGGGCGCACGTCCGTACGCCTGTTCGCATTGTGGTAAAAGGTACGTAATCATTGCGATTTAACTTTTCTCGCTATTAATATTTTGTAAGATGATCAAGCGTCTAAGTGACCTTACAAAATATTAATACTTTTCCTTTGCCCTCAACCAGCAATTAAACAATCAACCTGTCGATATTTTACATCCGACGCAGTTGACAATATTGTTTGTTATTTGAAAGGATATTGGCATTTCTCATGAGGTTATACTAGGCCGTGTGCTCGTAAATGGATTAGCATGACTAGATGCGCGTAGTACACCAAAATTACTAATTGCAGTTAATTGCTGCTACCTAATTCGAACTTGAAAACAAGAGTGTTGCCTATGATACATATCTGAGACATAGTATTTCACTGCTAGATATATGATGGACTTCGAAATGAAGATGTCCACAGTAGAACCAGAGTAACTGATACAGCCCAACAGATACGTAATTTGAAGTGGCAATAGGTCGGCCCTATAGCACGAATACTACTACTAGACTAGAAAGTGATGAATTATTTTTATGTATATAACTAAAGGCACTTCTGTCACAAAAATGTTTAAACGACCAAGTTTTTTATTTAATTATACGAGTACGTATACTCGTTACTACATTGGAGTTTAGATAAGAGTTTCAAAATCGGTAATATAACAACATTCTGAAATACTTTCAGTATCAAGTAATAAGACAACGATATTTTTCTCCAACACAGATTACCCCCTAATAGATACCATGGATCATCATGGAATATTTGTTCTGTTTCGATTTCACCAAATTTCGCAGCATGCATGAGTTGCAGGGGACGTGTCAACTGCGCTGTGATTGGATAATTCAAGGTTGAACTTAGAATGCTCCGAACCATAGTGATGGGACAGGGTTGGGACGTTGATCGATAAATTTGAGATTTATTGATTATTGATAAATAAATAAATTGATCAATTTTTATTTGAAATTTATTAAAAAATAAAACAATGTATATAAATAAAACAATACATATATTTGTACATGTAATCTAATGAGTTCTTAAATTTACGCGAACACTACACATTGAATAAAACTATATATACGGATTTTATCGCGTTTAATTAATTTATGGTCACGGGGGGAGGGGGTACTGAGATGTTTCACGTCTCAATGTCATAGTTAATGGAGTAATAAGGAGGGCTTTCTCCTCAAAGTCTTCCATGAATATGTCGGCGACTATAGGAGATACAGGTAAGCCCATCGCCACACCCTCAACTTGCTTGTAGAACTCTTCCTTCCGCGATAGATAGCCAGATGTTAAGCAGTGTTTGAGTAATACTGCGTATTCTGCAGGCATGTAGTTATCTTCTGGCTTCCTAGTTACAATTGAGATGCAGTCTTCAATAGGTAGGCATGTGAATAGTGATTGAACACCAAAACTGACCATAGTTTCATTGTCAGCGAGATGTAGGTCTTTTATCTTACTAACAAAATGGTGTGAATCATTTGTGTGTGCCCTTTTTTTTTTGCATGGGGAAATGCCTACGCATACCCGCCTCGCGGGGGCAAGGACGGGTTATGTCGGACTCGCACCGACTAAAACCCCATGGTGTTCCACCTTTGTCGCATATTGGCAGGGCTACGGGAACGCTTTCGCACACATCCGCGGCCCTACTAGCGCCTGCCGCCCCATGACAGCACCTCCTCGGGAGAGGAAAATTCCTCCCCGTTCTCCTTCCCAGGTAAGGCGCACCAGAACACATGGCGCGCCTTCCTCCACGGCCTCCAACTACGTCTGTGCAACAGACGCCTCCGCGTCCGATGCACAAAGGCCATGGGGCCAGGAAAAACGAGCACTTATAAGTACTAGCCTTCCCGACCCCAGCGGCGGATCTGGTCTATGGCTCCGTCGCCAACCAAGATTCGGCTGCGGAGGGTAGGGAGAGCGGCGCCTCGCAATACCGACAATCCTCTCCCCCCGCAGCCCCACCACCACCGCATCAACGGTGCGGCCCCGTTTGAGTCGCGAAGGATAGGGCGAGTGGCGCATCGCCATACCAACACTCCTCTTACTCCGCGACTCCAGCCCCCACTCGCTGCAGTCCACCAGCACACATCCGAAGTTGGCTCCCCAAGCCCACTCGGAGCGGCCACCTCAGGCCGGCCCTTCACCTCGGGCCAGCCACGTGGGTTCCTCTTTGTTCACCGTGGGAGACCAAGCCACGGCTACTGAGCCCCCCCGCCACGACAAGGCGGGAACCCGTTCGGGGGGGATTTGTGTGTGCCCTGGTATGTGCTCTCGGAGGTGACAATATTTTTGCCAAGTGTTGTACCTAAAAGTAGTATTATTAATTAATAAAACATACGGTACGTGTTCCAAATTTAGATGTACTTAATATTAATAATAATAATAATAAGATATTTCTGAAGTTCGTGTAACACTAGAAGAACAATAATCACATTATAATTTCACTTGTTTTATGATTTACAAATCCATTAAAAATAGTTTAATTTCGTTGTGTAACATTCGCCTAAATATTAGAATATCATGTTTCAATCAACCACTTAATGCTATTATTTATTGTGTGATCTACATTGGTTTGAATAATGTAAAAGTCCATACTAAAACTGGCAAGTATAGAGATGGTATAGCGGAATCCAACAGCCTTCTACGATTTTTCATAATATGAAGAATGTCTTCTGTAAAGTGTCTTGAGCATAGCACACATATTTTTGGTGGGAAACCATGGGCCCCCTCGACAAGTAGCGTCTATCTACATCTTATTGCTTTCGGAGCAATTAGGAAACCTATAACATATATGTACCACAATGATACACCACTATTTTTATAAAATAATGACTAAAAAAATGTAAATGATGACCAAACAAATATCTGCTTATAAATCACAACACTATCGATTCACTTTTTATGTGTATCGCATATGCACTGAAAATGTATCGACCATATTGGCGATTTATTGAAAACGTGCCAAATTAGGAGTACCCTTAACCGACGAGCATGTATGCGTAGTTATATGGATGTGAAGGAGGCGAGAGAGGTGTGTCAGGATCGTGCCAAATGGAAGTCTGTAGTCTCTGCCTACCCCTCTGGGTGACAGGCGTGAGTGTTTATGTTATCGATACACGTGCTGTCGTTAGACAAAGACAACTACTGTAATTTATGTAATGAGGGAAAGGGACGTTTCAAAAAGACATCAACTGCTTATAGTCAACCAAATCTAAGAAATACTTTTTGACGTTTCACATTAATCATTCAGCAATAATTTTGCACAATCGTACTCACACGATTTAAAATAACCATTTGCGTAAATCCGAAGATTTATAAAGTTATCTATATTTCGTTACAACGTGTATAGTTTTTTTATTTAATTTAAATTTGAATCTTTCAAACAAAGCAAAATATTAAAAAATAACCAGTATCAACTTTGTGTACATGACGTCGTTTCAATGATATGTCGCTATGTACATTACCGTAGTGCTTGGATGATTAAAATTAATTGTTATGCGAATAATCAGCAATAATATTCGAATAATCTTTAAAAATATTCAAATAATCGAATAATTATTTTTTTAATGTATAATTTGTTTCATTTAAATTTTTAAAATTCCTTAAATTACATGAATCATGAATAAAACAAGTTTTTCTTTCATTTTCGACGTAAATTTGTGAAGGCAAGAAAACTCATATGCAAGGCCACGATATAAAAACTACTACGTAATTTCAATATCCCGCCTTTTCGGGAGCTTACTGTGCATAATTTTTTGATTTTTGTTTGTCTTCTTAATTTGTGACTCGGCTTTAACTTTTTGGACTGTTTCTTCAATATTCGTTGAAGCATGTGCCGATTTCACAAAGGATCATTGGGCAAAAGTGGTAGGTAAAAAAAATATTATGGATGACTTTGAAAGAGACATTAATTTTGACTGCATTATTGAAAATCAAACGACAGCTCAACTAGTTGTACTGAAAGTGATTTAATAAATTTATTTTTAATTTAGTTATAATCTTAAATTTTTATAACTGTGCCTCTAGAAATAAGCAGTAGCTAACAACAAATACGTAGAAACTGATAAATCTTGTGCTTTAAATTATCCGTTTTAAATTTATTCTGGTATTATTCAAACTAAACTGTAAATGATCCAATTCTAAATAATCGATATCGATTTTTTTAAGAATCGAATATTGTACTTCCAATAAGTCTTGCTTGCTAACTTTGCAATAAGTCTGACAGCTGTCAAAATGCATTTCTTAGATTTGGTTGACTATACTTGTTATCACTTTGTACCATTACATTACCAGTATAAGATGAACTCCGGTGCATTTGAAATAGCATAACGCGATAAGAATAGAATTTACTTACCGATGAAATGTTATGCCGTCTATTTGAAAACTGGATATCTTAGCAGACTTGCCACACTATTTTACTGCACAAGAAGCCATTTGTAAAGTATTTTAGATACAAGACTATTTTTAAATTGTCAAGAACTCGGACGTGCCTACGGGTCACAAACTTGGTCAACACTGATGTAGTGATTCTTAGCGTTACTTCGTATGCTAGCTACAGCAAGTATGTGTTGCGCGCGTTTGTGGTCCTGTATGCGGAATCTATTAGGGGGTAATCTGTGATCTCCAATCATCTCATTTGTTTTTATTTCACAGCTCTCTGGTTTGCATGAGACCATAGACACGGCCTACGTCCTAAAGTCCCCACATCATAAAATCGCGTTGTCCTCCTGTAAAAATGCAATGCCTCGTTGCTAGCAACGAGGCATTGCATTTTTTTGTTTGCAATGCCTCGTTGATCCAATCTTTGCAGCAGCAGTTATCAACATCATCATAATCATCTAAATGATGCCTCATTTAAGTCCTTCACAAGTCTACTGCTAAGGAATGCCACCTGCATCCATCGACTTCCTGCAAGTCTTAAGTGATTCACACACTACGCAGATACGATAAAATATCTGTATCTAAGCGTATATCTTTCAATTTCGCTCTCTATGAAATTCAATGAACTAACACACACAGCACAAATAA